AAGCAACGAAGATCCAGCTCCGACCGTAATAGGCAGTTACATTCTAGTATTAATTGAGTTTCTCAAATATACGGTCAAAAAATATAAATATATTGTTTATAAATAATAAGTCCATCAAACCTGTCCAGTAAGTTCAGATGTTTGTTTATCTGTTGTATAGACTCGTTAATTTCATTTAATCGCTTTTCTTCATAACTAATTCCTGAATGAACGCAGCAGACGCATTTGAAAAGGTTTCCCAAGGAAAATTCTAATGTACCTTTTTCATTTTTGTTTTGCTTATTCTTTTGTCGTATCATGAATCCGGATATAGTACCGATTGCTGCAGATCTCTGTTCATCTTGAGTAGCCTATTGTCATTATAATTATAACGTGATCATTTTCTAAAGTTGCTTTGTGTGTGTGCGTATGTGCGCGCAGAGATAGGTAAAAATATGTTAATAAAATAATCTTAGTTTTCCATTAATGTATAGTTTTTGCTATGACTTAAATCAAAATTAAAAGACAGCAAACTTACGATATTTAGTTTTTTCGAATCACGCGTGCCCCATGTAACATTATGTACGTTGAAAACGGAAAAGATGGTTAACAACATGTACATGGATGGCACAGTAATGTAATAAATAACACCACACAATAGGCAAGTTGCTTCTTGAGGATGTAACAGACCAGCTATTGTCATTTGACACGCGACAATAAAGAAAAGAAGACTGCTGGGTGCGAGCCATCCATCTTCGGCGATTTGTAACATAATTCCTACCAGAACGACTATCATCACTAACCCATATATAGCGCTGATAATCTCGGCTACAAATAACTGCAAATCCATGCCAGTAATGTATTATGGATAGATGTATCTGTGTAGTAATGTTGTTTAGTTCAATAATATTAGTTTACAAAAAATATTCTTTTTTTCAATTAATTTTAACTGTACTATGTGTTTCTTATGGATTTTTGGATGCTGAAAACGATGCCATAAGCGAAAAAATTTTAGTACGTCAGATTTCTAGGATAATTGAAGTTTAATATATAAAAAATGGTTTTTTTGCGATATTTCACATTTTTTTGTAAAGAAGGTGAACATTATCATAAATCCAGACAGCACATGATATCATGCTAACATTCAATATTCATACTGAATGTATTGTGATTATACCGAATAAACCAAAAACGTTACTGTGATATCTCAGAAAAATATTATTTTTTGTATATTGTCTAGATATATCAAATATAATAATTAAATTTCGATTTCGATGCTGAATATATTGCTATCATATCGATTATATCCAAGACGTCTCTAAATTATTCTTGATACCGTCATGTCAGTCGCGAACCGTCGTACTGTAAACATCTCTGTCTGTCGCTCTCTCGGTTTTGGAGTCGTTATTCCGTAATATTTCTGATCCGTTCATCGTTTTCGCTCTTAGTCTGTGTTTCTCGCTTTTGTGCTTATAATTTGCACTCGGAATAATTTGTGAATTATTAATTTTTGTGCAGTATTTGTGTATTTTTCCGTCTTATATATCATTTCGTTTCGTGTAACTCTTAGTCGATACGAAAGTCTTTGACTCTATTATCGAGTAGGATCGATGTAGGGGATTGTATGAGAGCTCTATGTGTTATTCTGTACAAACGTGTCTATATCTTTTCGATTTCTATTATATATTTCCGTGTAAATTAGGTTACTAATTATTGCAGTACATTCAGTTGCCGTCGGCCGTTAATTTTTGATTTTTGTAAGTAATATATAGTTATAATGTACTTCTGCCTCTTGTTTGTTTTTGCGAATGTTTTTTAGTCACCTTTAATTTTTCCTTGTGTTATTGGAAATTTAATAAGTATTTAACACAAGGACTAAATATACCGTTGTATTTAAATATTCATTTGTACAAGCGTTAAATATGAGTCCGCCGGTGTGTTTTAAATGCAAGCGATTTTTGCCGCGTGCAACGCGCCTCTGCACATTTTGCGGATCTGATAACAATTGTCATGTTTCTGATTGCACGGACTCTTTGCCTGCAGCTGCAGCTTCTCCTCCGAGGATGGTGGGGTCTCTTGAAGTCCCTGTTTCTCCATCCGTTATCGGATTACGTTCTTCTCTGGTGTCTGACTCGTGTCTTGACGGTAGACTCGTTCATGGCGGCTCCTGGGGTCGCTGTGTCACCGACTGACCTGGTTGCTGCACTTGCATCTTTCTCATCGGTTTTGTCATCACTGGATGATCGCATTGCTAGACTTGAATCTCGACTTGGAGCTGGGGATCGTATTGAGCGTGGACTGGATGCATTGGACGGCAGGTTGGCTGCCCTTGATTCGTCCATGCAGCGGCTGGTCTGTGTGGAGAGGAAGGTTGATGGCCTGTCGTCGGCTTTGGATGTCCTGTCGTCTGACGCGAGTGTGCTGAAGGATGGACAGCAGTTGCTGGATGATCGCTTGTCTTGTCTTGAGAGGGATCTTGGCCCCCGGATGGTGGCCCCTTCATGTGATATTTTGGCGGCGTCGGACGACTTGGCTAGGCGTGTTGAGAGGATGGAGGGAGAACGCAGGGACCATAATCATAATCTTGGAAATCATAGTCTTTGGTCTGCCCGAGTCGGTTTCGGAGGATGCCGCTGCCTTGATGACCGTTTTGGCTTCGTTTTTGGGATTGACGCTTGCGCCTGGAGAGATTGTTGCGTCATTTCGGATTCCTGTGAAAGGCGCCTCTCGTGGTCGGCCGCTTGTTGTCCGACTAAACACTGTTGCAGAGATGCCAATTTTGTTACGGTTTACGACATCGAGACTAGCGCCATCGGTCGGCCGCCTGGCGCAACCGG